ACATGTACAATGTTTTCTGTTATCTAAAACCTTTCTGCATTTGTCAGGCAGTTAATATGGTTGTCACTAATTTCATAAGGAATTTCACTCCATAGATGATGTAACGCTGCACTCAGTTGTTGAAGGTCAACTGGTTGCGCATAGTGATCGAAACGCCTTCTCTGCATCCTCAATGGGATTGCGATCTGGTGGCAATGGGGGAAGGGGCAGATGGGAAAATTCCCAGGTATACACTGATGAACAACGCTGCCTCCATGAGGTCTGGCATCGTCGACCAGAAATCAAAAATCCTTGCCAATGAGGGATGTATTACTCGATAATTTCTTGGACATACCGGCCTGCGGTGAGGTCGCCTTCAACAATATGGGGTCCAGTTCGTCCTCCAGTGTAAATCCCAGATATTACACCACCTCCTCCAAACTGCACCGACGGGAGCGCGAACTGGGGCATTGTACGCATCCCCTGTTCTCTGCAGACACTTCGGCGCCTATCGCTATGCAGACAGAAATTCCACTCGTCAATAAACATAACAGCATTCCAATTAGTGTTCTCTTCTAATCGCTCGCTGCACCATATTCTCCGGTCCACTTCGTGTCCTCATCCACGTCCCTTTCTCAATCCAGGTTCCTTCATTCTATTCTGTGACCCATCCAAACGCTTGGTTAACACGTTAACCAAAGGGTAACAAAACGTTCCAAATTCAGCCCATGTTACGTTGGGAATAAATTCGTGGTGGCTTGTGTTGACGCCCCTGGCGGGAACTTAGAGAAGAGGCTGTCTTCTGCATGTGACCTTAGCTCGAAACTTGCGTATGACCACCGTTATACACCCGGCCTCAGGGGATACGGCGGATCGGACGGCAGCGTATAGGCGTTGAGGACACGATGATTATGCTGGATAGTCCCTCGAATGTGTGAGTAGTAGCCGTTGGGAACGGGTAGTGAATCGGTTGCTCCTACTCGAGTATGCTTTGCACAGCTGTGAGTATGACCGTCGTTGTTACCTTGTGGGACAGCGAAGGATCGGACCACCAAGGCTAAGCCTATGGCGTCCCTCGAATGCGTATGTTGTAGGCTGAGCTCGATGGGAGGATTTACCGTAGGTGGTGCTCCTCTAGGGGGTGGTTAGAAATTCCACTTTAAACGAAACCGAGGCCGGAGCGGATCCGATAGTATCTACGCTAGTGGAACCCTAATACTCTGGAAGATAGAGTCGCCTTCTCTCTCTCTCTAGGGAGTGCTCGGGCTGATGTACTTCGGCTTAGGTAGCCCGTTGCGTGCGGCGTACGGTCTGATGCTCAATGCAGACCCGGCCACTAGGAATGGACAAGCGGGGATCGAGGTTGCCTTGGCCCTTCGGGGATGAGCTGCCTCTACACCAATGCTGCGACAGTAACACCATCCTGTCGTATGCGGAGGTGCGTCAGCTCTCATCTTGAGAATCAAAACGTCTGACAAGGCCGAATAGGCTAGGTGCGGACTTTAAAGATACTCAGAGTTCTTTTTAGGATGGCCGAGTATGCTGCAGGTCGCCTGAGAGGGGTATACGATGTAAGGCCAGCTTCCCTGATTGAGAAAGGTCTTGCCAAAACATCTCGTACTTCATTTAGGATCTTGCAGGCACTATGGAAAGGGTTCCGTCTTGCAACAAAGACAATATGTCCTTCCTTAGCGTCCTAATGCGCTGAGATCCACAACCAAAGATGCTAAAGCCCCGGACATCACGCGCACAGGGACACTTCAACTGCCTCTGCGATATCCACGTGAAGGATTCGCACAGAGATATCGCGAACTTTTGGTTCAAGATGATGTCATTCCATTGTTAATAAGAATTTCACTGGATTAAAATGGAAAAAAAGACTAGAAAAACTGTTGGTTTACAACATGAGTAATCTTCATGTTTACTATTCCCAAATAAATCCGTAATTAAAAATGAGGATTAACAATTTTATTTGTTTTTGGTTTGTATTTTCTTTTCGTTTTATCCGACTAACTGTGTGTCTAATTTAATTTAAATTATTAGAATAAGAACAAATTACAAATATCCCTATTCATTTTTTAGCAGTTTGGAACAAGAATGATGCCCGCTTTGCAATTTCGTTATTACTGTACAAAGGACACATCGTATCTTAAATGTACCCAAGATGGTATGTGTAATAGCCTTTATTAAAAATTGATTGAGCGAGGCGAATAAATTTTCTTTCGTTTCGTATTAGAAATGAAGTCTTTTCCGTGAAATTTACAACTTCTTATTTTCTTTGCTGCATGTCAAAAATTGTTATCTTATAATTCGTAGTATATCATCTACCATGTATGCCAAGCCCGATATCTATAATTAAACAATTTTAGTCAACTAACTCGAAATATAATAATATATTTTCATATTGGCACTGGGATAGTTATTCGTTTACACTTACATACTTTTGCTAACCCTCAGAATTATTTTCAACAAGAAAATATTGTGTGATGAGTTTTCTCCTTTTTTCCTTAACTTGTTCACTTATCATGACATGAAATCTAAACATTGTTGAGATAGCCAGAAAAAAACGCTTTCCAAATATCATACTTAGGTTTGGATCAAACCCAAAGAATCTTTAAGTAGAATAAAAAAGATTTTAGAAAAAAAAATTAATTGGCTCTTCACTGAAGATGGCGCAATGCCGAAAGCTTTTGAGTAGTTCAACATTCAGCGAGAGACCAACACCCAGAATCCACAATATTTTTTGGCTGTAGTCATAATTCTCAAAGAAGAAAATACTCCTAGCCACGATCATTTAACCTCCCACAGAAGGCCATAGTTTTTAATTTATTTATCATTAATACAAAACTCTTATTTTCCTCTTCGATAGAAATTTTCCATAGTAGTCACATACCTAAACCCAACAAAACTCCCAGCCACATGTCTACGTACGAAGCTATCAACATTCTCCTAGTAAAGTCCTAAGTCCTTGAAAGACTCCTTTTAAAACGCCTATTACCCATCCCAGATTTGTATAAAACCTTTTCATCAATTCGGTGTCCGTCCTCGTAATTCTACGAGTCAGCAATGCTGTAAGCCAGGAACACACTTAACCGATGCTACCCGACGCCTTGCCACGTTTTGGTGGAGTTTGCACATCTATCCGACGCAAGCACACGTCGCGTACAGTCCACAACGTTTATCACAATAATCACTATCACAATCGCAACGCATCTTTTGTTCTTAATGCACTATTTTGAGCAAAACCTTGTAATAAATTGTTAGTTAAATTTTATGAGCACAACCATCTAATAAATTGTTTGTTAAACTTAATTGTTTTAAATAAAGTTACTCCTAACCATCATAATTAAACAATGTTTATAAAAACTTATGCATTTTTGATATCGTTTAATTTGGTTTACATTAAAATAACATGTTGTAATTAATATAACGACAAAATTACATGTACTTAGTTTGAAATAAACTACAAAAATATGAGTGTCCTGTTCTGATGCTACCCGACATTACAAAATGATGTAATTTTACGAGCAAAACTATGAAATAAATTGTTAATTAAATTTTATGAGCAAAACCGTGTAATAAATTGTTCCAATTTTAGATATGTACCGCCGAAGCGAGTACAATAAATTGTTAGTAAAATTCATTATATCAGAAAATCGTATTCCACTGTTTTGATTAATTTTCTACCAAACCATTAAAATTAATTTTTTAAATAAAAACTAATTCATTTTTAATCACAGTTAATTTGGTTTATATGAAAATTAGTATGTTGTGATTAATATAACGACAATAATACATGTAGTTTGAATAAAAATATGAGTGTCCTGTTCTTTTGTCTTCGCCTGTACTCGATGCGACCCGACGAAAATCTGGACCAGTGGGGATCGCAGAGCGACGGGTAGGTTAGCGTGGCATAGCATCGCCAGATGTGCCCGGGGGTAATGCAACCTTATGGAAAATCGGAGTTTGGATTTGCGTCGGGTAGCATCGGGTAGGTTAGCGTGGCATAGCATCGGGAAGAAGTGCACGGGGGTAATGCAACCTTATGGAAAATCGGAGTTTGGATTTGCGTCGGGTAGCATCGGGTAGCGTCGCATGGCGTAGCATGGCGTAGCATCGGGTGTGTTTCTGGCTTTAGGTTTGTTAATACAATTTCCTTTCTTTTAGAAAAAAGATAGTACTGCCCGGTGTTCTTGGCCTTGTCCCAAGCTTTTGACAAGGTCTGGCAGCGTTGAGTTTTTTTCAAACTAAAGCACTTCCTTACCCACACTACATAACACTAAATCCTATCAACAGATCTTTGTTTAAACGTAAGGCGTGGTAATGAAATGTCATAAAAAACACCTGTCCAAGCCGGCATTCTACAAGCGAGCATACAGGTCCCATTCTATACTCTATTTACACTGCTGACCTGCCTATTTTGGGTAGTTGTTCAGTAGTGAATTTGCGTCTATGCAACAACATATTTATAAATTTGACAACCCATTAAAATAGCTAACTGCCATAGTCAAGCCAAGATCGTGTTAATTACCTACAAGTTACCCTGCAAACTTCATGATGAAGTATCACAATACATTCTATACCTTCAGTTTTATTTATGGGAGTTTTCCAGAAAAAAAATGATCCCTATGTCTCATAAACCAAACAACTTTTTATTACACGATAAGTCTCTACATACTAGGATAAATTTTCGAAAAGCTAGTAGTGAAAAGAATGCTTCACATCTTGGAAGGCCAAAACATTATCTTATTTCAACAGTTTGGTGACAAGGAATTTATTCCTCTCTTGAGCTTAATCAGCATTGCTCTGGTGCTTTCCCTGCTGGGTCTCAAGCTTCTGGGTCTGGCACTCGGGTTTGCTGTGTGTAGAATTACTCTAGACAGCTTTTTTTCCGCTCTGCTTGACCTCGCGAGGAGTCAATGGCTTATATCACGCCACCCGCACTCGACGCGCTTTATCTTGTTTGAGTTAGAAATCATCGAGTCAATTTTTAATTTTTGTGTTTTATTTTTGTGCGACAGATATATCGTGATGTTTTTCCCGCTATGGAAAACCTCTTACTGGAATACGGCAACAACGACGAACCACTCTGGCCCCACTGTCTCGGACAGCTTGACGATACGAAAATCGTCCTGCAGGATCTGAAGGTAAAAAAATTAAAACAATAATTATTTTTTTAAATTTGTTATTATAGGCCCTTCTTTACTGCTTCGTTCCTCGATCAGCACAGTTAAGGATTCCAGGCAAAGGTATGACACCCAAAAGAAGAAAAGATTCATGCCTGTTTTTAATCAAAAATTCGAGTAGTCTGCTGGATTGGTACTATTTGAGTGTACTCAAAATTCTTTTGCATATCAGTCGATAAGAATTATCAAATAAAAGTATTTCTAAAAATAATTTTTCCAATTAAATTAAAGGCCTCATAATTAATTAATTTTTAAACAGTTATTTTTAATCGTTAAGAATAAAATTTGCTTTTTTTATTAAATATGTGTAATTTGTAACGCTCACATGGTCTTCTCAATTGATTAATTAATATTCATTTGTGTAAAAGATCATTTTTATTAACTTATGAAAAAAGAAGCTGATCTTTTCGATCTGCATTTAATTACAAATATATACTGGCGTCATTGATAAGTTTTTGTCGTTTATTGCTTGAATCAGATAAAAATATACCAAAAGTGTTAAGAATTTACCAAATAAATTATAAACTTTCTCTGTAGGTGGAAAATACGTTAGAAAGGGATAAAATAAAATCTGTAAGAAATTTAATACAAGGGTTTAAAAAAATCAATTATTCCTTTCTTATAAAAAACGTAATTGATATCAATTATGAGGAAAAGAAAAATACAGCTGTGGAACAAAAGAAGAACATAAAAATACCTGATGGAAAACCATGCCCATTAGGTTAGAAACTAGATTTTAAAAAAATTCATTATCATTCAATACAATTTCAACAATAAAACAATACAGCCTATCAATTTAATTGAACAAAAAAAAGATGCCGAAGAGTATATACTAAAAATTGAGATGAAACAAGTTCTGAAAATAGAAAAAAAAATCCGCCCTAAAACCTAAATTAAAATTCAAGAAATCGTAGATAAACATAAATTAGTTAAAACTGTATATATTAAAACTGTATATGATATTGGCTCTACCTGTTCTGTAATAAACGAGAAAATAATTAATTTATTAAAATCAAAATTACTTAATCACAAAACTCTTTTAAAAATTATAAGTGGTGTGGATTTTGTCAAAGCAGGGCTAACCATTTTCTATAAATATGTGAAATGGAAGACCATCGAGTTTTGACAGTAAGGAAAAATATCAATTTCGATTATGAATTTTTACTGGGTTTAGACGCATTTAAAATATTCAAATTAATACAAGACCAAAACTTAATTAAACAAAAATGAAAGGATACAATGATAGATGTTGAACATAAACGGCGTGTAAAATTTAGAAAACAATAATGTAAAAGAACAGGTAAAAAAATTTAAATATATACTATGAAATTAGCAAGACATTTATTTGTAAGAATAAATTAAAATTTTGTGAAAATTCTTACACTTTTATATTGAATACATCATTTAGATAAAGGAAAACGTAGGAAAATATCGAAAGTAACGAGCGAATATCACGCCTTGTTGAGCAAAATAACTTTTTTATTGATTAAATTAGATCTGGTGAAGCTATCTTTAAGCTGAAGGACGACAAATATAGTTAAAAAAACCCTATAGGTGTTCATTTCTAGATCGAGATGGGACAGATTCACATATTTCAAAATCTTTTGAAAATTGCAGAATCAAATAACCTTTTCAATTAATTAAGGGTTCGGTTGAGATAAAAAAGTCAGCGTCACAAGCAGGATTCGAACCCACGACCTTCGGCTAAATCCGCCGCTGCTCTACCACGTGAGCTATCGTGACTTGGATCCACTCGGACAATAACTTCCTATCTGAGCCCCACCTTTTGAATTTTACCTCCTTTTTGCCATTTTTCAAATCTCGTGTAATCTATTTGATTCTCGGCGACAAATGAAATGGCCACGGAGAGCTTTAGTGAAGTATACTTAATTTCGCTTATCATATTTTATTAGGTTTCGTGCTCCGCTTGACCAAATAAATTATTTTCAGTTAATTAAGGTTTTGGTTGAGAAAAAAAAAGGTAGGGTTGAGATGGGAAGTTAGTGACGAGTGGATCACGATAGCTCTAGTGGTAGAGCAGCGTCGTATTTTGCCGAAGGTCGTGGGTTCGAATCCCGTTTGTGACGCTGTCTTTTTTATCTCAACCAAAACCGTAATTAATTGAAAAGAATTTATTTGGTCAAGCGGACCACGAAACCTAATAAAAAATCAAATTAACCTTTTGCTTCTCCAGTAATATGCATTCAAAAAATACGTGTGCATTTCAGAGAATTAAACACAATAGTGGTACCTGAACCACAACCATTTCCCAGAGTAGAATATGAAGTTGTAAACGTTGGTAGTTTTATCTTTCAATTAATTATTCCTTCCATGTAAGGTCTTGGTTGAGATAAAAAAAGTTGGTAGTTATAGTTCGTTTACAGCAGTCTACAGCATTCAGATTTTTTGGTCCATTCCATCAGAATCAAAAAATCGTATGAAAACTGCATTCATAATGCAAAACAAAGTTGCAATGGAAAGTACTTTCGTTTGGTTCTAAAATTTCTACAGCTATATTTCAAAGAATTTTAGCAAATATAATTCGAAAATTTGAATTAGATTAATTTTATATAATTTTGTATCAATTACATAGATGATATAATGATCTCTTAAAAATTATTTGATGAACATTTACAACACAATAGATTAGTTTTTGAAGCATTTAAATTGAAATTAAAGAAATTCTGTAAAGTATTTATGACATAAGATAGAAAATGGTAAAATTTATACATTCAAAGATAATCTCTGTGCAATCCAAAATTCCAAACGGCCAGCAACAAGAAAGACTGGTAGCTAACTCATGGGGAAGGTTAATTTTTACCACAAATTTATTGACAACTGCACACGAATATTACCATGCAGGCTTTATTACAGAAAAATGGAAACTTCAAATGGGCAAATGTATGTGAAATCTTTTTTAAAGATATTAAACAGTACCTGCGCATATCCCCAATTTTGGCTATATATGAAAAATATAAGAAGTACAGTAAAGAAGTAGACGCAAGTCGTTTAGGGTAACGTGCCTTAAACAGACCCAGGTAGATTGAATTTTATACCCTGTAGGATATTTTTGGAAAAAATTATCTCTGGGTCAAATAAACAAATGAATATTATATTTAGAATGTCTTGCAATAAAAGAGGCAATATTGGCAATATTATATGATAGGTAACCAAAATTTGTACTAATACCAGATCACAAACCACTTGTAAATTTAAAATCTAAATCAAGAACTGATGAAGTATTAGGTGATCTGGTGTTATATTTGCCTCAATATAACTTTAAAATGAATTATAAAAAGGTAAAGATAATATAGAAGGTTTATCTAAAAATCAACCGTACGAAAGTTTTGAGAATGATGATTATTTAAAGATAATAAATATGATTGACTTAAAAGAAATGATGAAAATTCTAATAAAAATTAAATTGAAAACACGGTGAGACCATGTGACCCTCACGAATTACACGACTTATTTTCTCTACTCATTCTCTGGTTTTTCCTTCTGCATTTTCCCGGGTTAGCAAAGAGTGATTTTTTGTTTTTCTTGTATTACCACTGTTGCTATCATCCCTGTATATTTTCAGATACGCCACAGGCCTCAGAGGCAGGAAGACAGGCTGTATAGTATGTTTTAATTTTATATTTTTATAACCTTTCTAACTTCTGACATGACATTGTTCAAACGCCAAAATCAATCTGTATTTTATATCAAATAAAATTAAAATTTGAATGTACTGAAGAATTATGCATGATTTCTGGTTTAGGATTTTAATCAACTTACTTTCCATTCAAATTAAGCAACAAAATAAAACCCAGACTTGTTGGGGATCTAATATCAAACAACTTGTACACTTTTTATATTTTATTCATTGTAAAAAAATTTCCTTTATTTTTTTCTATTTTTATCCTTTTTCTCTATTTTTAATTATAATTTGTTTTTCTGCCAAAGTACGCTTGCGATATGTCTATTTCAGAAGATGCCGATAGTCGCACCCAATTGGTAAAAAAGCCTTCTTTCCTTCAGAAACATGGCTAGCGAACTGGTAGACTTGTGTACCTACGAGGTACGCCTGAACGCCCTGTTCACCAGAGCGACTGCACGGAATTACATTAAATGAACCCGTTGTGTAAGATTTTTAATTAAAAAGAAAAAATAGTCCCCTTGTCAAGTTTGTACTTGTATGAACTTTATAAGGAGGCTCGATCAATGTGCGCAATATGACGCATCTCTAAGAGCAAAAATTTTGATAAAACACGAACCAACGAAAATGAAGGTTAACTTTTTGTTTTTATTCTCTCAGATAAAATCTCTATAGTGTTTTCGTGTGTTTAATTATGTCAGATTTTTGGAAGCATACATATTTTTATTTTTCTTCGTCCACTATTTTTTCTGTAACGTCTAGCAATAAATTCCATGTAGTTTGGTCGTTTCCGATCATTATGTACCGCCTAGAGTGCTATTTTTTGCGCTTGGCTAAGGTAATAAGCAGGGCGAGGCACCGAAAGACTTTTTAATTTACAGTAATTCATGTTCATCTTTTATACGATTACAAGCACTACATCATTTAATAAAAAAAAAGACCGGCCGAAAAATAAAAAACCTCAAAGGCCACGGTTATCATACGACCTTGTAAAAGAGACTTGACTTTACAGAAATCTTACAGCCACACTCAATATGGCGAAATCACGAAAAGTGTCTGACAACACAGCGAGGAATGGCAAAGCAAAATGATGGAAAACGATGAAATTATAAACCGAAATAACTGGATCAATTACAGATTTTTCACCATGAGGACCCTCAAGTAGCCTCACGTAAATTAACTTCCAATATGTTTTGTGTCAATGATTTCCATGTTTAAACGCCTAACAGGAAAGTTTATGGATACAGAGGAATACAAATTTTACACGCTGTTTCGGTATTACATATTCATTATTTCAGTTAAATTCCAAAATTATCTATAAATGTACACTACATTGACAAAATTTTGAATGCAAGAAAAAACAACCATTCGATGTGACGAATAATTTTCTACCATTACACCTACTTTTACCAAGCATAAACGTAAGACCACGACTAAGAAACGAGGCTAACAACATGATACTTGAACATTGTCATCAGATCAGTACAGATTAGAAATATTCTAATTTTTATTTTGTTTGGCTGTCTCCCCTTGCATTTATTATATTTTTATATCGGAAATATTTTTTCAGATTTAAAAAAAATAAACCTGAAATAAACCTACACCTTAAAAGCACGTTTCTCCTTAAATGTGTCTTTTAGTTAAAATATACAAGAACAACAAAGGAGAAAGTTGGCAGCGGGCATAAATATAGAAAGAATAAAGGTGGCTAGAGAAATGATTAATAGGTGTATCCTGTCTAAACAAACATTGATGATGAAGTGGTACAATGAATGGGACAAAACATTCATTAACATTAGGACCACGTAATGGGATCAATAGGAGGTATCACCATACGGGACGATATATTTCAGTCTTCTGTGATCTTTCAAACCTACTAAATTGATCCCTTTTTTTAACAAATAACGAAAATATTAAAATAAAAAATAGCACAATGTTTCCATGTGTAAAGGTTCTTTCTGTACAAAGCAGCAGAATAAAATTTTATGTGCATTCTTGTACATTAAAACATGCATTTTTTGTTTTTTAGTATTATAGTATTTTATTTCCTTAGTTTTACGATGAATCGAAACGTTCTCTCTCTCACTCACTCGCTCTCTCTCACTCACACTCTCTCTCTGTCTCGCTCTCTCTCTGTCTTTATCTCTCTCATTCTCTCAGTTTCTCGTGGTCACTGTCTATCATTTTCGCTTTCCCTTATGTTTTTAACGTTATCTTCTAATTTCGTTATTGCTGAAATATATTTAATTTAATTTCCTTCCTCACTTACTCACTCACTCACCCACTCCCACGCACTCTCTCTCTCTCTCTCTCGCTCTCTCTCTCTCTCTCTCACTCTCAATCTCACTCTCACTTTCACTCTCATTCTCTGTTGCTCACTGTCTATCATTTTCGCTTTCCCTTATCTTTTTAACCTTAACTTCTAATTTCGTTGTTGATGAAATATATTTAATTTAATTTAATTTCCTTCCTCACTTACTCACTCACTCACCCACTCCCACTCACTCTCTCTCTCTCTTTCTCTCTCTCTCTCTCTCTCTCTCTCTCTCTCTCTCTCTCTCTCTCACTTTCACTCTCATTCTCTCTTGCTCACTGTCTATCATTTTCGCTTTCCCTTATCTTTTTAACCTTAACTTCTAATTTCGTTATTGCTGAAATATATTTAATTTAATTTAATTTCCTTCCTCACTCACTCTCTCTCTCTTCTGTCTATCTATCTATCTCTCTCTCTTTCTCTCTCTCTCTCTCTCTCTCTCTCTCTCTCTCATTTTCTCTTGGTCACTGTCTATCATTTTCGCTTGCCCTTATTTTTTTAACGTTAACTTCTAATTTCGTTATTGTTGAAATATATTTAATTTAATTTCCCTTCTTCTTCTCTCACTCTCTCTCTCTCTCTCTCTCTCTCTCTCTCTCATTTTCTCTTGCTCACCGTTTATCATTTTCTCTCTCCCTTATCTTTTTAACCCTATCTTATAATTTTGTTATTGCTGAAATATTTTTAAATTTATTTAGAAATATCTATCTATCGGTATATATTTGGTATCGATCTCTTTCTCTTCGCAGATAAACTTAGACTTAAAAACATGTTTACGTGAGTGTTTCTTAATTTTTTATGTATTTTTTATTTTTTTGCCTGTTAATTATCTAATCAATGAGAGTAAGAGATATGCTGAATTATAAATCGTACGAATTGTTATCATGTTTTTGTAAAACTTAATTAGGCCGAAAGGCGTGGAAAATTTTACTTTTTAAATCTTGATTCTTCTAGAGTCAACAGAATTTATAGTGGTTTTTCATGTATCCACTCGTTACAACATCAGGCTTGGGCGGACATTGTTCCTGATTTTGTTTATCCACGTGCATAACAAGGCGTAAAATTTACTAGTTTCTTTTTCTGGACACTTCGTTTATGTTGGTTCGTGTATAACATGTCATAGAAAAAAATGTTGGTTCATATGGCGCACGGAGTCGGAATTCTGTCAATTGTGAGATTTTTTTTAACATGTTTCTCACCCAAAAACAATCGACAGAAGTGGGAAACTGTTTAATAAAGTTTGAATTTTATTTGCTTCTATCATGTTAGCTTAGGTTGTTAAATAATTAATAACAAAATAATTTAATGTTTCTGTGATGTAATGAGTTATCTGCCTAATGTAATTATATATTAAAAAGTGATATGGGCTGGGGGCCTATTAATAAGAAAACTACCTTTCTAAGTCGTGCTTTAGAAAAATTCAACCCTTTTATCAGGATGTTTGGTGTTAAATTATTAATTAATGTATGAAACTCCTGATGAAAAAAGATTTATTTCTTGAAATTTCGACGAAGTAACTGAGTTTCGTCATATTCGTGCTCACCCCTAGTTTTTTTTTTCTTTTTTTTTAATATATAATTATAAATTAAGTTTAATGAAATTTATAAATTTGTTTCATTTTATCATTTGATAAGTTATTATCTAGCTTTTAAAATACAAAAATTAAAAAGTATTCCAAGAAGTACTTAAGAATTTGGTTTGTTCCCACAAGACATTCGTTTGAGTTCGAATTATCTTTTATTTGTAAAATTTTATAAATCCAAACCAATGTCGTATTTGTTGATTATTCTCGTATTATTTGCCGTAGGAATTAGGATACAAAATTATCGACAGGCAGAAAGGGATGGACTACGAACACGCTTCGATGACGATGGGGGCTTTGGCGAAATTCCACGCCTTGTCTGTCGCCCTCGTCCAGAGAGGGCTCATCTCGCCGGACGGCTACTCAAAATTCGTTTTCGGAGGGGATTTCGACGTGATGAACGAACACCTGAGATCAAACTTTGAAACGCTGCACAGAGCCATCAGCACGACATGGTCCTGCGAATGGTGAGATCAAAATATCAAAACGTACACTGGTCAAATTGCCTCGGTATCCTTCCATTTTGAAAGCGATGTTGATGTTCCGGGCTGGTGATCCGGCTCTGAAACCCAGTTGCCCCAGTATGTAAAACAACCGTTAACAACCGTCCAATTACCTTAATCCCTTTAATGGCCAATTGCCCTAGCAACAAGGAGATAGACCGATTGTTTGCCCTCGGTTAATTTGGCTGAGAGGATCGCGAGTGGTGGATGTGTGAAAATACAGGAAAACCACTCGGACAAATTGAAAGCTAGCCATTTCCCCGTGTTGCTTTCAAAGGTCAAGTTAGACAAAAAAACCATCTAAGAAAATTCCTTTTTATCCTATTTACGCTTCTTTACCAAAGTATATAACAACCCAATTACTTTTGAGTCATTTTTTAAAGCTTATCTTTTTCTTTCAGGAGCGATATTATCGAGAGGCTTGGAAAGCTCCCTAAGAAGGCAGTCAATATTTTGAGAGAATGTCGTAAAAAAGGAAAATTCAACGTACTCAATCACGGAGATCCATGGGTTAACAACATCATGTTTCGTTATCCGAAAGGAAGCACCGAACCGGAATCTATTAGGTGGGTTCGAAGTATTTTATTCAAAAAAATGTATAGAGTTGTTATTATTAAAAGTTACATCGGTGTAACGAGACATTTTTTCCACAAAATAACAATACATGATTGTTTGTTTAAACGGAAACTATTGATTGTTTTGCCTAAAAAAGCGAAATTATGAAAACATACATAATCTAAGTGACAATACATTATCGAATATTGATAGAAAGGTCTGATTACACGGATAAATAAATGTAAAATAGTCATATAATCTACGAATATGTTGAATAATGATTCTGCCAAATATAGAATACAATGAGACAAAAAAACCGGATTTATGGTTTCCTGTTTATTTCAGACTATATGTATTTTATCCTTATGTTTTTCTTGTTTCTTGGTCATTTCAGCCCCGAAGCACTATCAAAGTACCCCTACACACTCTATACCCAATCACACTAATAAATACATTCATTATTATATATTGTTCGCACTCATTCTGTTTAATAGCTGGAGTACTCGATATTCCTCCATCTCCCTGTTTTCTATAACAAACTAATGTAAATAGGGGTCGATGAGGTATTTTTATAAAATTTCCGCCATCAGCCCAAGTACTATACACAACCTGAGCGGCTATGGAGAAGCAACTTCGCCTAATAAAGCACAATTGAAATATATTGAACGATAAAAGTCTTTTTTTACATTACTATTCATGTAACGATGAACTAGATTATCGACCTGCTGGATACAAGAAGTCTTTTCAGAGGATCTTCGGAAGAAGTCAAAACAGAGAAAACTTCCTTACGGTTTTCGCCGAGCTTTCGACAGTTTTATACTGTCATCTTCAGGGCTTTAAAACCTTAATAGGAAATTAAACAACATGGTGTTTTGGGCACAGAAGTACATTATGTTTTTTGGGGCTCAGCATCTCATATAAGTCTAAAAAACCAATAAAATCCTCCTTTTTTAGTTTTTCAGGTACATGTGATACCAGTACGTTTCCCAAATATATATATATATATATATATACATATACAATTAACTTATTTTAAAATTTAAATAACAATACAGTAGGATCACAGATCAAATCAATAAAAACCGATAAAAACAAAATCTCTACGACGAGGGGAAACAAAGGCTACGAACGGCTTCCTATTAAGGTTTTAAAGCCCTGAAGATGACAGTATAAAACTGTCGAAAGCTCGGCGAAAACCGTAAGGAAGGTTTCTCTGTTTTGACCTCTTCCGAAGATCCTGTGAAAAGATTACTATTCATGTTTTTAATTACAACAATTATTGGATACTAATTCGCTCCTACTTCAAAAAGATCCTATTGCCTTTATTTTTTGAGTCTTCGGACTCATAGTGTGGATTAAATGATGTTTAATTAGCAATGGTACAACAGTCCACTATAAACATTTATGTTTCTTTATCCTTCCGTAAGATATTTTATTTTAAACAAATCAAAGCATGGTCAACTTTTTTTAGACACTAATATTTTTTAAGAGTATGCTCGGTAGTATAATTTCCTAGATTAGCTCCAGCCAGTTAACAACTTGTATATTTTATAATTATCATCACTAAATGATCTAGACACTAAATGTAATTATTCTGCTGAAATAAACTTCGGCGAGTTACGCTTCCAATTTATGCAAAGATTCATCGGGTTTCGCAGCTTGCAATGCTGATTTGTTCTTTCTAATAAAAGGTGTGATTCGTGCATAGAATTTCGATTATTGGGAAAGACAATGTTGTTTTTTTCTCTTAGATATTTTAGTTTTTATATTTATATTTACTGACAGTCATAAAAAAAAGTTGGATATCTGGTCCTTTCGGACGCGTTTCGGTATCACTTCTATTGGTATCTATCAGTACAAGAGTAAAACGTTGAGAAATTATTATGTACAAAAAGATCAATTTTTAAGGTAAAACTAATAATATCGTCACAGTTTGCAATTTTTGCAGAGAATTACATAAAATAACTAACTTATTCATCTCTGTTAATTAGGTATGATATTTATTTTAGTTATAAAAATTGTCTGTCAGAAATAAAATTATCTTAGTAATATGTATAAATGTTCATTGTTTATTTATAGTTTACTTTAANAATTTCATCATAATTTGTAATTATTATTATCATTTACGATACGTAATTTGCGGATACTTGAACTTATATACAACTATTTACATTGAGGGGAGCAAATAATCAATCTTCCCTCTTCACTTTGTTTATGTTGTTTTACTGTTTTCTCAGAAAGGAGTTCGCGGGTTATTTTCCTTTTTGAGTCGCCTTTTGGGGTAGTAGCGATGGGTACTATATATATCTACCTAGCTCTCCAGCTCTCTTTCTGACTCTTTCTATCTACCTATGAATCTTCCTCTCATTCTCTCTTTCTCTGTCTTTCTTTTCCTCACTATATATCTACATATCTATCTATCTATCTACATAGCTCTCCAGCTGTCTTTCTCACTCTCTCTCTCGACCTATGAATCTCTCTCTCATTCTCTCTTTCTATCTTTTCTCTCTCTCTCTCTCTCTCTCTCTGTTTATGAATCTCTCTGTCATTCTCTCTTTCTCTACCTTTTTTCTCACTCTCTCTTTACCTATCTATCTTCCTATATTTCACTCTTTCTTTTTTCTCTTCCATTCTCTCTTTCTCCCTGTTTATTTTTCTTTCATTCACTTTATCTCTCTCTCACTCTCATTCGCACGCATTCTCTCTTTCTCACTATTTCTCCCTTTGTCTATCTATTATCTATATATCTATTTATATCGATCTCTATCTCGCCTCATTCCCTCTCTTGATTGTGCGATGTTCTAATATTAATTCCATCAATTCTTGAGTTGATTTTTCGGTCAGCTAGGTAATTGACTCAATGTATCTACAAGCTTCCCTTCTTCAGCTGTTTCTCCCATTGGAAAGTAAATTGTGGAGTAATAAAGAAAATTTGTGGCACGAGACCGTTCTTGAACTTCGTCGTTTACTTGGTGTCAAGTACGGCTGAAATCAAGGGCCGAGCAGCAGTTGGAATATCCTCACAAACGAGTAGGTTGACAAATAGGGACAAGTAAACCGGTCAGTTTCACTAGAAAGGAGTAAATTACACCCCGACACAATGATCTCTCTCGTTTCTAATCAAATTGAGTCACTTTTATGATAAATTCCATTAAACCTATTTGACGCAGTTTAACGGGTATTTAAAGAACTTGATTAAATTTTTAAATTAATGTAGTGTAGTTTTTTTCTACAAGTTTGACTGAAAGGAGAATTTGTTCCATCGGTATCTGCATTAATACAAAATTTATTTCATATCTTAATGCAAATCCTGCTCTATCCAGCATGTAAGAATTTGTGGTCGTTCAGTAAATTCTTCGATCGTTACAGCTCACGTCTCGATCCTGATATCGTCACTGTTTACTAGTCATACTCGTTATCGTCTTCCCAAAAGAGAAAATAAAGTTCAACAGCGAGGAAACTCTTGGCACCAAACACTAGTTCAGTTTAATGTTGAAACAACGCAAAAACGTTCGTTTTTGTAAATTTGTTAACGCCCAAGAAGTACTTATGGTCATGACTGTCTTTCAATTTATGCCGATCCGTTAAAAAAACTAATTTTTTGATTATTACTTTGGAAATAAATTGTTATTCTCTATTAATGAGAGTATATGTCATATTCAGTGATATAATGAACATTAGGAATAGCGGCAAATGTAACGAATTTTGTGGATATGAACTGTTAGTATCTTTAATCTTTAGAATGCCCAATCCTCACGTTGGCTAAACTACTCTTCTTTGCTTTCTAATCATTAAATAAGTGTCAAGGTTTCAGTATCAAATAAGTGTCAACTATGTCAAAAAAGTAAAATATGTCATCTTATTTTAGAATCGAACTCTGATCAATAGTGATCATTACTCACAATCAAGTATTTACAGGGATATTTGATGAATTATGACCATTATGGCTAATGATTCAGATTTCTCTTCTTCGTGAATCTCTCTGCTCGAAATTCACGAAGCCTTGTATGCTGACAATGTAGCTTCACTTTTAGTAAATGTCGGTTATACACGCAGATTTATTGTTAAGAACAAATCAGTTAATGTAAACAGCACATCTGAGAGTAGAACCGTCATTTACAGAAAGTGAATTCATGTACTAACCCCTCCTTCATCACTTCTATGTACAGGTTCGTTCCGCCTCATGAGAAATATCCGTGTGCCAAGACGCCGGCATGACGTATTAGTAAACAATGGAGTCGTTCTAATTAACGAATTATTAACATTTATTATCCCCCTTTCTCTGTTTTGCATATAGTCAGGCTTGTCTAATTAGTTTTTCGCACAAAGCAATTGCCTTGGCTCGCTGGAACGTAATAGATAAAACACATTTCTTAGCAAAACGTGTGGTGTTTAGTAACCGTCCGTTAATGATTATTTTAAGATCATTAGATGCGTTCTGGTGTAACTTAGGTTTTAGAAAAACATCTTCTTTATTGTGCCAACGTTTCGATCTGTATTGAAATCACCTTCATGGCTCAAAGTTTTTGTTTTCTGCGTAGTTGTGTCATTCTTGTGTGTCGTGATCTTCGTTCTTCTCGTGTAGAAATGTGTGGTGTTTAGTGGTCATTAGTTAAAGATTACTTGGAGATCGTGAGATGTGGTCTGGTGTGACGTAGGTTTTAGAAAAACATTTTCTTTAACGGCGGGCACTTTCAACACGACACACAAGAATGACACAACTACGCAGAAAACAAACACTTTGAGCCCTGAAGATGATCTCACGAAAGAACGAAACGTTGGTACGATAAAGAAAATGTTTTTCTAAAACCTACGTCACACCAGACCGCATCTCACGATTTCTGAATAATTATCGATTAACGGTCACTAATCACCACACATTAACAAATACAATACTTCAATTTGGCCTCATCAGTGATCTAATAATCCATAGTTGTTTAGTGGCCATAATTGGTCATATTAATTATTCCAATTAATTATTCTTTTCGTGTAAGGTTTTTCGTTGAGAGGAAAAGAATAATTAATTGAATCTAGTAATATTAAGAGTAAAAAGTTCATATTTTTTAACTTTTCCATCCTCTAATACACAAAATTATTGATAGTGCACTGTTTTATTTATTTTTTTGTTTTTCAATTCATATTCTACTGTCATCCAAATTTATCCGTTTATCTGGTATAATAAATGTACTTCGATTTTTAGTAAACTACAACTTTTGATTGATTGGTGATAGTGATGAAGTTTTAAGTAGGTGCGATTCAATGCGCTCATGCGACGATACGATATCTAATACTTCAGCCTTTCACATTCAACTTTTATCCCTTCGGTCTCAAACACCTTCCCCCCTGTTGTTACCAACCCCATCAATTCTACCTTTTTCCTTTTACAGCCACTCGGCGTGCCTTATACGCTCCAACCGGTGGGAATTTCGGAAAGCTTAAAATACTTCGAAAAGATTTAAATTGATCAATTTCAAAATTCAATTTTGTTTGAAGTATAGTTCTGGGTTTAGCCTTTGTAGTATAGTGAATATTTAACTGCGTCTTAAGTAGGTAGAGTCCCCCATGGTAGTTAAATGGGCGGGAAAACCACAATGTTAAAGTGATTTCGGCCCTTGCGTTTATTAAACTTAATTATCCATTTCCAAAGTCAGGTTAAGTGGGTTCCTAATGGGCCATGCCCAATATAACACCTTGATTGCTGAGTTATCTCTTTTTGTGTTCCAGTGATTATCCGTTTTCGATTTGTTGAAAAAGGTGCTATTGTGGGTTTCTAATTGACCATAAACCATTATACGATCTTGACTGGCTGATGCAGCAAATGTGAGATGGATAGTGTCGCAATGGTTTGAATTGTCCAATAGTAATTTGACAAGTCACTTCTTAAGCTATCTTCTAATACAGATAAATTTAGCTATATTCTCTTGATATACTTGAAAGTGCTTTGGTGCATAGAAAAAATGTCGTAAAAGAAGTGTTAAGTGATGTTTCTAATGAACTGTATCCAATTATAAAGTCTTCATTGATGGGTTATGGAAGAAAATGTAAAATCGGTTGTGTAAATATGGTTTGGAACATCAGTTCTTTATGCTGAATAGAATAAGAAGCTGAATACAAAGCCTTTTTGTGTTTCTAATTGACCGTGAGTAACTGTAGAGTTTTGACTGGCAACAAATGTGAAAGGTATAGTGTCAACAAAATAGGGGTCTTATATGCTCTTTTGGAAAACAGCTAAATCTGAGCAAAAACTCTGATCCCAAGAGAAGAGTATCCCCAACAAAAACCTGACCGTGATAAAAGGACCATGTTCCAGCTTCCTCCAAAAAAATTAGCATAACGAAATGATTCTACACTGTGCGCAAGTCCATTTTTTTAGTCTTCAACCTGAGAGAACTCAAAAGTCATGATAAAAGTATCAGACTCTAACCCAAAAAAAAGCCAGCCTATCAAATTGGTGATATATACATTGTGGCCGACCTCATTTTACTCCTACTTTTATGAGCCACACTATTATTTTATTTTTATTGCTAACGCTTGGCCAGTATCTGAATAAGCATTAAGGAGTCTGGAAATATGTTCATTTTTAATTGAGTTCTTTACCATCCCTTCTCCCACTTCTCCTTTGCGAGCACACATGCTCCTGATGTTTTAACCCTTATTCAGAAACTGGTCAGGTTATTGAACTGTGACAACCAATTGGGTTTTGATAGAAGGGCTATGTCAAGAAATATAAAGTGAATGATGTCAAAACGATATATAACGATAGTCAGCACTATTATAATTGTATTGTAAAGAGAAGAAGGCTTAGTGCACTGATTTCCGCAGTCCATCTGAAACGGGATTCCATACTAGACTAGATTAGACAGTCCTTATTCTTAGAAAGTGTTTATGGGATGTAAAATATGAATGAACCATGTGCAATACTGGTCTCTTAGGTGAGGGGTTTTGACAGAAAATGTGTTATGGTTAAAGTCAAGAGGGTTTGGATTATCTGAAGTAATAAATATCACAGAGGCTTAGTACGCTCATTGGTAGGACTTTAACTTTGATTGATACTACAAGAGTTTTAAGAATGGATTGACTCCTAGAAAAAACTATCGAAAGGGTTGATTGAATCACGAGGACGTACGTGAGATTTTGGTTTTATTTACAAGATCAAATGCTAAAATCAGTTTTAATGTAAATCGTGAGACCTATTCTATTCTATTATAGACCTATCTATTCTCGCTGTTTTTGATTTTTAGACAATTTTTCGGCTTCCTGTCATCTTCAGTTTTTTTTAAATATTCATTTCCGGTATTATTCACTTTTTTACGGTATTAAATCTTATTTCAAGCATCAATCCGTTTATTTATTTCAGAGTATCTTATTTCCAATTTCCTGTGAAAAATTAAGCACATAAGGTAAAAGTTACAAATTTTACCACTTCGTTGTAGATGTACCAACGAATTTATTTATACAGCGAACAATAGACTTGCATGGAATCTAATTCACTAAGCTTGCATAACCTTTTCCTGTGAAGGATTGATAATGGAAATTTTTTATAGCGGTTGGGATGGGAAGTTCGTGCCCGAGGGGATCGAAGTCACGATAGTCTCCACTCAAGTGGTGAAGTAGCGGCGTATCAAGCCGAAGTCGTGGGTTCGAATCCCGCTCGTGACATTGACTTTTTTATTTCAACTTAAAACCTTAATTAATTGATTGATATTAATTGGTCAAGCGGACCACGAAAAATAGTGAATTTTTTATAATGTTGATTACCGCCCCCATTCCACTTGAGGGTATATATCTAAGTAAGTTTTTAATTGTTATATTAATTTTACGTATTGTCTTTCAGATTCGTCGATTTCCAACTGTCGCACTACGACTCCTACGCTTTTGACCTTCACTATTTCATGAGCACGTCCATCGCGCCCGATATTCTTCCGTCAGCAGACAGGCTTCTTTTAGAATACACCGAGACTCTCGCGGCCTCTTTGCGGTTCTTCGGTATCAACGACTCGCCCACGTACGCCGACGTACTCGTCGAGATGAAGCGGACCGAATTCTTCGGCCTCGTCGCAGCCGTCACGGTCGCCCCAGTCGTCACCGCTCCGCCAGAACTTGCACCTCCGAAAATTGCCAACGCTAAGGACATGCCACTTGAGGAAATCGAAAGGAGAAAGCTCGCCAGGTATCAGACTCCTTCTTACAGTAGAAGAATTGAAATACTGCTCCGGCGAGCTCAACACGGTGGACTTTTTGATAAAATCTGTGACTAACTTGAATCTAAGCTATTTTTTATCGAATAACTATATCACAATTTGTATATACACATACTTGTAAATTATATTATATTTTTATTATAACTTGTAAATAAATATATTTTATATACTGTTAAGGCATACAGTCATTTTCTGAAATAGCCCCATTATTTGTATTAATTCTATAAAGTATTAACATTAGTTGCACATCCTCCAATTATATCCAAGTCGTCTGAAGCTACTTGGATCACGATATTAAACTCATTTTTTAAATTACAATCTGTAATGGTTACAATTTGTAATTTGATGGACAAAGATATATTTACAGTTGTTTACATTGTGGAAAGAAAATAATCTACATTATTTTCCCAATTCACTTCCCTAGGCTAACGTCACTGCCTACTCCTCACAAAAGAGGTCGCAGGGCCATGGCCTTCTGAGATACCTTAAGGGATTGTAGGGATGGGTTGTGTTGGACAAGAAATTAAACTAGTTTATTTATGTAGAAAGTACTTAAAGGTTCTAATAAAAGCCTGTACGATTTAAAAGTAAATTAATTAAATTCCAGTAAACAGAGAAAACAGCTGGACATAGAAAAAATATTTTTTTTTTTGTTTTATAAAAAAAAATAAAATCATTTCATTTCACACGGTCTTTTCATTATTTCAGAATTTACAATAGGAATAGTCAATTAATTAAGGTTTTAATTTGAGATAAAAAAGTCAGCGTCACGAGCGGAAATCGATCCCACGACCTTCGGCTTCATACGCCGTTACTCTACCACTTGAGCTATCGTGACTTCGATCCTCTCCGGAACTAACTTCCCATATCAACCCCACCTTTTGAATTTTCCCTCCTTTTAGCCATTTTTCAAATGTGGTGTAATCGGATTGGATTCTCGGCGACAAATGAAATGGCCACGGAGAGCTTTAGTGAAGTGTACTTCATTTCAATTCATTAAATTCACTATTTTTCGTAGTCCGCTTGACCAATTAATAACATTCAATTAATTAAGGTTTTAAGTTTAGATAAAAAAAAAAAGTCAGCGCTACGAGCGGGATTGAAAAAGGAAGGAAAATTCAAAAGGTGGGGTTGAGATGGGAAGTTAGTGCCCGAGGGGATCGAAGTCACGATAGCTCAAGTGGTAGAGTAACGGCGTATCAAGCCGAAGGTCGTGGTTCGAATCCCGCTCGTGACGCTGACTTTTTATCTCAACTTAAAACTTTAATAAATTGAATGGTTTTTTTTTTTTTTTTTTTTTTTGGCATTGACCTTTTGTCTTCAGCCATGTTTGTTATTATTATTATTTTTTTAAAATTTGTTCGTTATAAATTATTTATATATTATTTATATGCTGCAACGAGTTCGTTTGACAAAATCGACCAGGGCCCGATAAACATCGAAGTCTTCTGTACATATTAAGAATTTATAATTATAAGGTTTTGCTATTTCGCACTGGTCTATCTCACCGAACATAGTCTTCCTTTCTTCATCATATTTTCTGCAATGCCATACAATATGTTCCGCATTATCTACTAGGTTGCATACGGTACACAGATCACTGTCTTTCTTTCCTANTATATATTTAGTAGTCATAATTGACCGTATTAATGATCAAATTAATTACACTTTTCATCTAAGGTCGTGGAGATGAAAAGTAGATTGCTAATGTTGAAATGTCGATCAATTTATTTAATTATCAGAAGAATATGTATCCAATGTTCAATTTCATTATACACTATAAACAACAGAGGGAGATACACACACACACACATATCAAATATATCCTCTTCCTCGTTGCAAGTACCGATATTTTTTCGACATGTTGATCGATATCTGAATGTCGAGATTATCCAGGCCAAATACATATACCAGGAAAATGGGTTATCTGAGGCTTGCCGACTGTAATTGAACTGGCTTTGAACTTGCGAATAAATAGATGATCTACACGCGTTTGCCTTTGCTTGAACTCAGCGACAACTACTTCTGCTCTTTCAACTTTGTGTTATTTTTTTTTTAACATGCCCAGTCCCTTTCCCCGTGTGATAACAGGGCAGTAACTGGCCCTGCCCCGCCAGAATTAATACTACTTATCCTAATAAATAGTTAAGTATGAGTAATAACACAATTAAAACATTTAAGTGAATAAAAACAAAACTTAGCATTCCTTGGCTAAAGAGGACATAAAACATAACTTTTTTTGTAAAATTATCGCCAATTGAATTACAAAAATTTATGATACTACTCCAATTTTTCCAATTTGTATAATATAGGGCCTCGTCACACTTCAGCTTATAAAACTACCCAGCAAAGTAATGACTGCAAAAAAGTTAAATATGTATTCGGTGTCTAGATAATTACAGACGGGTCATAGCATATTATCATCACTTTTGACATAAAATCTAATCAACTTAAGCATATCGGTTCTGAATTTAATGATCATCCATTTTCATCCCATTATAATATTGTTATTATTTAATTATGTGTTGTTTCCTAACTGTAATTTTCTATACAGAGGATATCTTTCATTATTTCCTACCCATTTTGCCCAGGCTTCTTTATCTGGTTATTGGACAAATTGGTTTGTAAATCCTCAAATGTGTACCTGTTTCCAAATACAAGATTATAGGCTGCTATATCGAGATTAAGGTTTCCCATCATCCCCTGCATTTCTCTGAATGATCCCGTCTTCATCTTTAAACATTGACTCGCAACAATATTTGCGTATCTATTAAAGGCATAGCAAGCGCTTTGAGAAAGTAGTTGAAGTACAGTTTAACGCTGTGCAAGTGGCACGGTGTTTGTTTTAAATCATAAAAAGTATGATGGAAGAAGCCGAAATAATTTCTTCAGAAAGAATCTTATGACTTTTTCTATTTTTCCATATGGATTGCACCGCCATATTTCGGTTCCATAGTTAACAGTGATTGAATTGCGGTTTTGAATGCAGTTAAACGGGAAACAATCGATCATTCATTATTTTGCAAGATTGAAGCCACTTTATTATACTGTTTGGCCACTATGACTTTTTTCGATATTTCGTAAAATTGCATTTGGGTGTCAGTTATTCCAAGATGTGTATATTCATTAACCACCTCTACATTCTCGCGAGATTCAATTATTAATCTTTTCTTGCGCTTATCTCTCTACTCCTAAATATAAGTACCTTACATTTGGCAAACTTCAATTTAAGATTGCAATACTTTATCATTTGAATGAAAGAGTTGATTAATTTTCCTTTTTTTATTAACTAACGGCATCTTACAATTTAACACAAAAGAAAACCAAAACAAACAACAACAAGCCTTCAAGGACTGTTATAACTTTAATTTAGTTTCTACCAATCGCCACGCGCAGCATTGCGAAAAAATTAACGTTTAACATGCTGAGAAAACAACGCTCTTACTGCACATTTCCTATTCGAGTTAACACCAGTTTAACATCTTACAAACATCGTGAATATCCCTGCTACATGTGCATTCGAAAAGTACTAACAAATGGCACGCATCAATTCGTGCCGACATACCTAACTTGTGGTCCTAACGTCTAACGGTGTTCAACTTTATAGGATATGGGATTTATCTATTATGAATGAGAGTATAAGAACAGGTCAGAAATTAACAAAAGAAATGTATTGGTCTGATTTAATTAATGCATATTTAAGAATAAAAAGACGTGTAAACAAAAAACAGCTGTTTAATTCATGGCTGCCATATTGATTACCAACGCCCTAACGGATAGCATTGTGACTACATTTTCGATCTAACATCTAACATTGGCCCTGGGCTGTGAGATGGAGCAATGTTAACTAGCCAATTCTTACAAGACTACGTCATCATTTTTCTCGATCTAACAGGAGCTTACAGGGTTAACAGGGGTAACACAAAGATCATGAATATCCCTAATAACTCTCTTCCTAACAGAAATGCCGTGAAGCAGAAATTTCTCTTGAGTGAAACACAGACCGATATCCACCACCATTTTTACTAATTCTTCATAATTCTTTATTTGATTTTTAAGCAATATTTTTTTAACTTGACCATTACCTATTACTTTCGTTTAACTTTGCTAGGTTGGTTTGTAAGACCTGTTTTGTCATTTCGCAATCTTCAGTGTGACTTTTTCTTTTTATGGCTGGATATCCAATCAGCACAAGAAGTGCGAAAAGTCCTGATACTAGAAGACAAGGTAAACGACAAATAATTAACGTTTTCAGTTGAGATAAAAAAGTCAATGACATGAGCGGGATTCGAACCCACGATCTTCGGCTTGATAAGCCGCTGCTCTAGCACTTGAGCTATCGTGACCTCGATCCACTCGGACATCAACCTCCCATCTCAACCACACCTTTTGAATTTTCCCTCCTTTTTGCCATATTTCAAATGTCGTGTAATCAATTTGATTCTCGGCGACAAATGAAATGGCCACGGAGAGCTTTAGTGAAGTATACTTCATTTTAAACATATTAAATTAACTAGTTTCGTGGTCCGCTTGACCAATTAATATGTTACAATTAATTAAGGTTTTCAGGAGCTGGTTGAGCAGCGGCGTATCAAGCCGAAGATCTTGGGTTCGAATCCCGCTCGTGCCATTGACTTTTTTATCTCAACTGAAAACCTTAATTAATTGTAAGATATTAATTGGTCAAACGGACCACGAAACTAGTGAATTAAGTAAACGACAAAATTTAATTAATGCGTATTTAAGAATAAAAATACCTGTAAACAAAAAACAGCTGTTAAATTCATCGCTGCCATGTTGGTAACTTACGCCCTAACCTAAGATAGCAATGTGACTACATTTTCGACCTAACATCTTAATTGGCCCTGGCCTGTTTGATCGAGCAATGTTAACTAGCCGATTCTTATAAGTCTACTTATCATTTTTCTCGATATAACAGGACCTAACAGAGTTAGCAGGGTTAACACAAAGATCGTGAATACCCCTATCGTCTGCGCGTAGTTTGATTTTGACATTTCCTAACATACTTACCTCCTCCGCCAAGGCTTCTTCTAAACGTTCAAGAACAAGACGAAACAGTAAAGGACTAAGCAATGCTTCCTCTTTAACAACCATGTTCATACTGAAACGCTCTGATGACGCGCTTTTGTATATAAGTGAGATCTTCTCTGCCAAT